ACACAAATGTGATGACTGGAAGTACAGCGGTTGCCTTGGCAGGGCCAGACCAAATGATTTTGTGGGTCTTGTATGTAGGCATATTCTGCCCCCCCCCCCACACACCCCATGAGGGTCACTGTGAGTCGAATCCAACTTTATAGCATTTAACAACAACACTATGTACAACATTGATGGTGGTGGTTCTGTGCTGTGGAGTTGGTTCTGACTCATAGTTACCCTGTACAGGGTTTCCGAGGCTGTAAATCTTTACGGGAGCTTTCTCCCACGGAACAGCTGGTAGTTTTGAACTGCTGTCCTTGCAGTTCGCAGCCTGATTCGTAACCACTGTGCTACCAGAGCTCCTTATGTACAGCATTGCGCCATGCTTATAGTTGCAGTTTTACAGCCACCTTGTCAGTTCATCTGGTTGATGGGTTTGCCACTTTGCTGGTCCTCTACCATACCAAGCTTGCCCTAAAGGTTGGTATTACAGCGTCAGCCCATTTTTGCACTCTGTCTCCTAAAACCACCTTCTCCATTACTTCCAGGTAGATGGGAGTCCTGGTATGGCACTGTAGGCTAAGCACTGGACTGCTTACTACAAGGCCAGCAGTTCACACCCACCAGCCACTCACAGGGTCTTTATGAGTCAGAACGAACTCGTAAGCAGTCAACAACATGAATAGATGATGCCCAAACCTTTCCTAACTGCAGATTGCTGGAGTGTACATCCCTCTGACAGTTTGCCATGTACTGCAACTTGCACAGCTCCTAAACCGAGCCCATCTTCCCTGATCTCAGTGAATGGAACCAATCTCCACCCCACGGCATGAGTCAGAAATGACTTCATCCTTGACTCTGATCTTCTTCTTTCATTCGCCTCTCTCTTAGCATCGCTAATGCAGCCGTTCTTCCTTGCCTGACCTTGGGATTCTTTCTCCCGACCTACGGCAGTTGCCTTGACGAAGGTGTAAAAGTCCTTTTAACACTGATGTTTTCATTTAACACCACTCCAATCCATCTCTTAGTGGGTCCTGGACAAAGCTAAAGCTTTGCCTAGAGTGTAACAGGGAGTCAGTGCATGCTTGATGGATGATTTGAAAGTCTTTGGGGGTGAGAGGCATTTGAAATAATTTAATGTTCATGGACATGGAGTCCTGGTGTGGTGCTGTGGGTTAATAATGCACTGGACTGCAGAGTCAGTTTGAACCACAAGGTTAGTGGTTCAAGGTCAACAGTTGCTCCTTGGAAACCCTATACAGGGTCGCTATGGGTCGGAACTGACTCGACGGCACTTACCAACAACAATTCTCATAGCCATATTTGAAGAGTATAAGAATTTAATAAGTAACATTGTAATGTAATTATCCCTCCTTTATAGCATGACGAAAAAATGTGTCCACGGTAATTAGAAGGAAGGCAGAGTGGTGAATACAGCTGTAGCACCTAGGGTTTGTAGCTGAGTGCTTAACTGTTGTGGTTAAGTTGTATGCTGTTGAGTCGGCTCTGTCTTACAGTGACCCTGTATAGGGTTTCCGAGGCTGTAAATCTTTATGGGAACAGAAAGCTTCATCTTTCTCCCTTGGAATGGCTAGTAGATTCGAACTGCTGACTTTGTGGTTAGCAGCTTAGCTCATAATCCACTATGCTACCAGGGCTTTTACCCATGAATCCACTAGCAATTCATGGTGGTGTTGGTTGTGTGCCTTGGAGTCAGTTCCGACTCACTGCCACCCTGCATAGGGTGCCTGAGGCTGTAAATCTTTATGGAAGCAGAAAGACTCATCTTTCTCCCATGGAATGGCTGGTAAATTTGAACTGCCAACATTTTGCTTAGCAGGCCAGCTCGTAGTTCATGAGAGTGAATTATTGACTAAATTGACTACCAGAGCAGTCCAGAGCAGTTCATGAGAGTAAACTGTGGACTAAATAAATAAGCAAGGTAATGATTCCAAGAGAATCAGCCGTTTTTGAGTGAATAAGAAGAGGATTGGAAACCCTAGTGGCACTGTAGGATAAGCAGCGCTCTGCTAAGGACAAGGTTGACAGTTCAAACCCTCCAGCCACACCAGAGGAGGAAGATGAGGCTTTCTGCCTTGGAAACCCCAGACAGGGTCTCTGTGTGTCAGAATCACTCAATGGCAGTGGGTTGGGTTTGGTTTTTTGAGAGGATTGAGGAAGCTATAAACAGACTGACTGAAGGGATAAGATGCCCTTGTATACTCTTGGAGGAAAATACGGAAGTCACATGTTCCCAGAAATGATTGCTTCTCTCCAAGTCAACCTGGGAGCACAACCTGTGGAGTATTTTAAGAACGCTGGTGTAGGTTTGCTTCTGAAACTATTACATTCATCCTCAACTCATACTTGAAAAATGTTCGCTTCCTTTGCAGGTGTCATGGAGAAACTCCAGCTCGGCCCAGAGGTTCTCTTGCGGGACAATCCGAAGCTCATCTATGCCAGGCTGAGTGGGTTTGGCCAGTCAGGCAGGCTCTCCACAGCAGCAGGGCATGACATCAACTACTTGGCTCTGTCGGGTATGCTGAAAACAAATCAGTTTCAGTTACTTTTTCTTTGTTCCCAGTCAATATCTGCATTGACAGTTATTAAAAAGATTGGATAATGGCAACGATTTAAGTATTTATTAGATCACTAAGGAAAACATAGTTATTTAAAAGGGTTGGCCTGGATGATTAGAGCAGTCACTCCCAGCCTTTTATTTCTCCTGCCTTAGCACATTTGAGAGCTCACTCCTCAGGCAAGCACTTACCAGGAAGGAAGAGATTCCTGGGAAGAGCAAGGCTGTTTGCTCGGTGGTTTAGAAAGTGCTAATAGACTTTAATTCTGACAGCGTACCTTTTCTTCACCTTCATTGAGAATCATTGCCTAAGTCATCATTTCATACTTCTGTGGACACGAGGAAAAGCCGATAATTTTCAGGTCCTAGTGGGATAAGCACTAGACTGCTAACTTCAAGGTTGGTGGTTCAAACCCACCAGTCGTTCTCAGAAACCCTATAAGGTTCGCTCTGAGTGTGAACCAACTCGATGACACTTAACAACAACAGTATCACCTTAAAGCCCTGTGGCACCGTGGTTAAGCGCTTGGCTACTAACTGAAAGGTTGGTGGTTTGAACCCACCCTCTGCTCTATGGGAGAAAGCTGTGGCAGCCTGTTCCCATAAAGATTATACCCATGGGAACCCTTTGGGGGGATTGTACCCTGTCCTGTAGGGTTGCAATGACACAGAATGGTTTGACAGCAGTAATTTCCTTTTTTTTTGTAATACCACCTTGGAGGGCAGGGATGGCTCAGTGGTAGAATTCTCACCTTCCAAGTGGTAAACCTAGGTTTGATTCCCAGCAGCTACCACTTGTTCCCCCATGGAGGCTTGTGCTGTGCTGCGGTACTGAACAGATTTCAGTGGAACTTCCAGACTAAGAGACTAGTAAGAAAGGCCTGGTGATGGACTTCCACCGCTCAGTCAGCAGAAATCCTATGCATTACAAAGCTCTCTCCTTGTGACTTGGTGGCAGCTAACAGCAGCATCACCATGTGTGAACCCTTGCCTGAAAAAATGTGTATTAGAAGGGCTTAATTCTATAGTGCTAAGACCTGTGTGGTGTTGGCGAAAGGAAGTCTTAAATTGTCTTGTGAGTATACAGTTAAAGAGGTCTTGATGTGGCGCTGTAGGATCAGCACTGGACTGCTAAACACAGGGTTGGTGGTTCAAACCCACCAGCTGTTCATAGGAAACACTGTACGGGGTTGCTATAAATCGAAGCCAACTTGACGGCACTTATAAAACAATGACGACATACATTTAAAAGTTGAAGAAAAGACTGTAGAATTGACTTTTCACATCTGTTTTGAAATCTCGTTACTGTGTATGATTATTTTCTTGCATCTCTTTCTATTAAGAATGGAAGAATGTGGGGAGACAACTTAGTCAAATGGCATAATGGAGTTTGGTGAATAGCATCCAGGGTCCTAAAAGCTTACAAGTGGCCATATCAGATAACAGCTATTGATCTCTACTTTCATGGAAGAAAAGAAAGGAAGAAAATTCAAGGTTCAAAAAAAATAAACGAATCCACAGGACTAATAGCTGATTTGAGCCTCTACATCTTCTAACCTGACTTAGAAACACCTAATGCCTCTTCTGGATGGCGCCCAGCTACCAATACCAATTATTCTGACCAGGGACACAGTAGAAAGCCCTGAGTAGAATAGAGAACAATGTAGAACAAAACTCAAATTTCCAAGAAAGGCCCAAACTAGACTGTTGAAGTCCTACAGTCCTGATGTGGCACTGTAGGATTAGCTCTGGACTGCTAACCACAAACGGCTCCTTTGAAACCCTCTATGAGTCAGAATTGACTCAATGGCACTTAACAACAACTTGACTATTAGAGACCAGAGGAACCCCCTGGACTGTCGCCCTTAGACTCCCATTGAACTTGGAATTGAAGGTATTTCTGAAGGTCACTTTTCAGCCAAAGTACTGTTTTAAAAGAATATCCCTGTGAATAATCTGTTCCCTTACACAATCAGCTAGATGAGACCAAATGGTCAGCAGTTACCCCAGAACAAAGGTGAGCAGGCAGGCAGGGAAGGGAAGCTAGGCCTGTGACAGTGGTACTCACAGAGTGGAAATAGAGGGAAAGCTGACACACTGTGATGATTGTAACCACTGTCATGCAACAATGTGTATCAAAACTGTTCAAAGGAAGCCTAGTCTGCCGCCTTTAAGCTCCATCCCTCACCCACAAGCAACACCAAAAAAACTTCAGGGAGTAAAATCCCAGCAGTAAAATTCTGAAAATGTCAGTTGGAGTAAAGTTTGAGAGAGAGAGACTGAGAAACCCTGTTTACGATGATAACAGAATTGGTTCGGGTTTGGAAATTTACGTGGTGGTGGTCACTTAGGTCAGCAACCAGAGAGGCTGATTATGGCTCTAAGATGTTTATGGATGACGGAGCTTCAAAAAGTTTGCAGGAAAATTCCATTACCTCTTAATCACCTTTTGCCACAAACTTTTTGAAGCCCCCTCGTATTGATTTAAAAGAGACGTCAAGCTCACCATGACATTTCCTACCATATTTTTTAATGGTGTAGGTGTTCTGTCGAAAATTGGCAGTGGCGAGCAACTGTATGCCCCTCTGAACCTCCTGGCTGACTTCGGTGGTGGTGGCCTCATGTGCACCCTGGGCATCCTGTTGGCCCTGTTTGAACGCACCCGCTCAGGCAAAGGCCAGGTCATCGATGCCAACATGGTAAGTTCTGCCAGTGCTGCGGGGCTACTTGGCACCTCCAGCCTTCTCTGAACAAGACGAGAGAAGAAGGAGGTCATGAGTTTGAATCCAAATGACTAAGGGCACTCGTTTCTTTAACAGAACCTCGTACCTTGTATATTAGCCGCACTATTAGAGTTTGATATCTGTGGTAGAGTCCTTGTGTAGCGCTATGGTTTAATGCGCAGGACTGCAAAATCACTTTGAGCCACCAGGCTGGCAATTCAAGTCACCAGCTCCTCCTCGGCAACCCTGTACAGAGTCTCTATGGGTTGGAACCGACTCAACAGCCCTTAACAATAACAACTTCTATGTGTACAGCCAATTCACCAAACTTTTCGTGACTCATCTGATTGCATATATAGTATTTCAACAATTTTCCCTATGCTGTCTCTTGTGTGTAGAATATAGTTTTCAAGCAATCCTCATTCAAAACTGCATTCAGAAAATGTCCCTCAGCAGATGGAGGAGATTCTTAAAGGTCCTAAAGTGAAACGGAGCAGTCTAGACCTTCCTGCTGATTTTGTAGGAGGAGCACTGACCAGGCTGCCGTACACTGAGGCCTTCCTGTGTGCCGTCACTGTGCTAGGCATTTTCCCTGCACAGTCTCCTCTAGTCCACCAAACCACAGCTTCTCTGGGGAAGCTGGATTAGTTAAAGAGGAAAAAACGCAAGCTCTCGCAGCTAACTGGTAAGAACACAATTGCATTCCTTTCTTGAAAACTCCTCCAGTGCGTGTTTCCATTGTGACAGATTTTTGGAGGTAGTACAGAGAATGTATGTGAAGGAGATAAGACTGGGGGCAGAGACCAGACACTGGGTTAGTGTGAAGAGATGAAACAAAACCAACAAAACCCCCGTTGCTGGCGTCAGTCCTGCCTCATGGCAGCCCCATGGGTGTCAGAGTACACTGCTCCGTCATCGTGCTCTCAAGGGCTGAGTTTTGAGAAAGCGGATGACCAGGCCTTTTCTGTCTTGGAGGTAAGGGCAAGGACTAACACAGTAAGGGTATGGTGGCTGGACTTAGTGGCACTTGAGATGCAAGACTGCAGGGAATTGGTAATGGATTGGCAGTAAGGACGGGTAAGAGGAATAAGGAACGGCTCCCTCTTTGTGGTTTGGACGGTGTACTGACTGGTGTTGCCTACACCCTGGGAGGCAACAGCTGGCAGAGGCGGTGGAGTGGCGCAGTGGTCGGGCCCAGGTGTGTCAGCCCTTCTGTGAAATGGGGTTCAAGACAATACCCACCTCACTACTGTGGTGGTGGTGGGTGTGTGCCCCTGGGTCAGGTTGACTCTTTAGTGGCCCTGTATGGGGTTTCCAGTGTTGTAAATCTTTATGGGAGCAGAGAGTCTCATCTTTCTCCTGCAGAGCGATTGGTAGATTCAAACTACTGACCTTGTGGTTAGCAGCCCATTTGGTAACCCACTATGATACAGGGCTCCTTCCCAGTGCTGTAGGAAGATTACATGATTCATTCATTGCTGCTGCTTTCTGCTCTTTCCCTGTGCCCTGTGGTACTGTCAAGGAGGCCTGGTGGCACCGTGGGATATGCCCTGGACTGTTAGCCGCTGGTTCAAACCCACCAGGCGCTCCGTGGAAGAACGACGAGCTATCTGCTCCATGTAGCTGTGCTCTCTCAGAACCCTAAGGAGCAGGTCCGGCTCGGCAGAACCCACTCGATGGCAGTGGGTTTGCTGTATGCTGTCATCAGACCCCGGCCACCAGTACATGTCGCATCCATAGCAAATGACCTTGGTAAGAGCCGTGCTTGCTTTAACGTAGCTCTCCCGTCCTGGCTGTGCCGTGGCACATCCTAGCAGGCAGCAGTAGAAGCAGTAGCGGATGCCAACGTCACACTGTCTTTTTGCCAAGGCTTAGGCCCCTCCCGGATCCACCACTGGAGAGCGGTGTGCACACTCCCAGTGTGCATTGTCAGACGTGAAGAGCTTCAGGGCCTCTGAAGGCATGAAGCTGTGAGGACACAAGCACTGCGCCCAGACCCTTAGACCCGGAACTTCTTACTTACCATCATTGCACCTTCCTGCCCTCGGTGGCACAGCCGTGTGTACTGCTGTGGGCCACAAGGCATCAATGTGGAACAAACACTGGGATTGGGGAATTGTGGAGAGCACTTAAGATGCTGTAGGATCCGCCCTGGATTGCAAACTGCAAAGTTGGCAGTTCAAACTCTCCAACTGCTCCTTGGAAGCCTTGTGCAGGATTGCTGTGATTCAGAACCAACTCAATGGTACTTAACAACAACAACGGCAAGGCTAAATACGTCTCCAGTAATAATGTGGATAATATACTGAAGATATGCAATTGCTTATTTCTACTCAAATATAAATCAAAAGTGGTTGCTGCTTTCATCAGAATGTGTCTAGTCACAATCATATAATGGGTAGACAGATAACAAGGTTTTAGTGTATTTGAAAAGTGTTACAAACTTTTATACTCACATCGGATGATAGTGGTCCATATGATGTCATACTCATGACTTCCTCATCCCTGGAAACCTGGTGGCACAAATAACTTAACTGTAGATGCTAACTACGGGGAGCCAGGGACCTCATTGTGGTAAGCCAGTAGTTTTCAAACAGCCTTATCCTTTGTTAGTAAAGGGTTAACATTCACCTGACTTGATCCACTCCTGTTTCCTTGGAAACTGGAGGTAATGTTTTGATGTGTGTCTCAAAGTACCACCTATTGTTGTTATAAGCCACTGTTGTTGTTGCTGTTATGTGCCGTGGAGTTGGTTCCGACTCATAGTGACCCTGTACAGGGTTTCCGAGGCTGTCACTCTTTATGGGAGCAGAAAGTCTCATCTTTCTCCTGTGAAACTGCTGGTAGTTTTGAACGGCTGACCCTGAGGTTCGCAGCCCGATTGGAACCCACTACGCTATCAGAGCTCCACTGTATGTACCTTGAATTTTAATATGATAGGCTTTATGGGAGATTGTCTGTACTTGAACTATACATAAGTCAGCTATTGGTAACTGCTAAGATTTATCAACGGAGAAAAGATTGAAGTTGTCAAGGACTTCATTTTTCTTGGATCAACTATCAACACTCACTGAAGCAGCAGTCAAGAGATCAAATGACATATTGCAATAGGCAAATCCGCTGCACAAGACCTTTTT